TTGTAATATAATTGAATTATTACACAATTTGATTTGTCCTACGCTTAGCAGCTGATAAAACAAAGTATTGCCGAGCAATGCATCGATCTCGGCTGATTTATGAAAGTTCGGATCAGCTAACGAAATATTTTTAGGAATAGACAGATTGTCTTTGTCAATTTTTCGAGAGGGTAGCAACCCAGTTATAGTGGGTAAGGCCACTAATGTTAGATCACACGAAAAAGGAGATGTTCGTGATTTGATGGTTGTTTTAACCGTGTACTGCGACTTAGTTAAATTTTGACCTAAGCCTGAGAATGGCAAATTGATCATAGTTTTATTTAGTTTTAAACGATCAGCTAATCTTTCTGTTATGAAATGCGTTTGAGAACCTCCGTCTAGCAATACTCTACACGGAATTTCATTTTTGTCTTTATCTAATATTTTAATCGATGCCGTACCTAACAACACCTCTGAATCAGATGATACAACTAAATTTACTGTTGGCTGTTCTTTTATATTTTGATCGTTTGATTCGATTGAATTATTAGTTGGATGGTTACGCGGATTGTTCGTATCAGTAAAATGCAAAAGCGTATTATGCTTATGATTGCATGTCTTACAACCGCTAAGATAGCATTTATTTGTCTGATGATTACCTCGCAAGCAATTTAAACATAATTTTGCCCTTCTTGCTAATTCGAAACGTTCCTTTGGATTTAATTGCAAAAACTTGTTACATGTATAAATCGCATGATTTTGACTACAAGCAGGACATTGAAAGTGCGCCTGCGTACCTACGTGTGATTGTATTTGATTGGGTCGTTTCTTATTTGGCATTTTCGAGGTGTGATTATTAAAATGACTGTTTGATTTATTTGAATCAAAGGAAATTGTATCGAAATCGTCGCCACGTGCTTGTTTACTAAGAAAATCTAATAATTTTTGAAAAGCGGGCATTTCCTCGTCTTCTAACGTACGCTCCCAAGCGCGACGCGTACCCTTATCTAGTTTCTTTACTACAATATAAATCAGTAATGCATCCCACTTATCAACTGGTTGCTTCAAAGCCCTTAATGCATTTATATGAACTTGTGTTTTTTCTACCAAAGAACGTAGATTAGTAGGAGTTTCGCGATGAATTTCTGGAAGCTCTAATAATAATTGTAGATGAGTATGAATGATTTGTCGCGGTTTATTACATCTTTGTTTCAACGTATTCCAAGCCACCAAATAATTTTCCTCTGAAGCATTTAGATTTTCTGTTATTGAAGTTAACGGACCTTGAAGTGCATTTTGCAGTAAATAAAATTTGTGAACTGGTAACAATTCATCGTTATCATGAACTAAATTCTTAAAGGTGTCATGAAAAGAGTACCAATTAATAGGATTTCCATCATAAGGACGGATCTCTATTTTGGGCAACAAATTATTAGCTTGTTTTATAGTTATTGGCATAGAAGGAGTAGCTGACGTTGATGGCGACGTGCTAGCTATTGGCGATATCACCGAGTTTATTTCGCGAAGACGTTTACTTATTATTTTAGCGCAAGCAAAATATTGATCATCAAACTGCGATCTGTGGGCTTCATGATCCATATCGGTATGCTTCTCCTTCTCTGCTAAGATTTCAATTTGTAATTGTGTTTTGGAAAAGGCTTCATAGCCCTCCTCTAATTTTATTTTACGATTCTGGATATCATCAATCTCCGCATCTGGGTGCGCATTAAGATATGTTATTAACCGCGTGACGTTAGATTTAAGACTACCGCGTGTTTTGATTAAAGTTTTTAAATTTTCTGACTGTGCCATTTTCGAAGAAAATAATCGAAATCGAATCCTCTATTATAGGAAGGATGTTAATACGTGTAAGGAGTGAATGAGTGGAGATTCTTGAGCTTACTTTGATGTTGAGTTCTGCTACGATGATGTAGTTGTCCACAGCTGGTGATGCTATGTTGATTTGATGATAACTGGATTTGTTGTCCACTTGAATGACGTCGTTCGTTGCGTATGTCACTGCTCCAATGGCTGCTTTCCCATGGGATGTCCGTATTAGAAGCTTAGTGACAAATAGCTTGTAATGATGTTGATTCTGCTCCTTGACGACCAAAGAAATCCGACGGCTGCTCTCCGAAATGGGATGTCCGTTCAGATGTTTGGTTCGCCTGATATCGTTTTATACGGTGTAGGTACTCGTGGTATTCCTTGTAGTATTGTCCAATGCACCAATATATTGTTTGCCGTTTTTTTGAATCTTCACTATAACCGTAGAGATCCGGCTCGAAGGACCATGTTCAATGCGTGCAGATATGTGGTAATACTCGTACGCTTCGAGTGATAAATTAATATTACTCGAATATTTGTGGGTGGTGCGAAGAAATATGTAGAATGCCACGAATAACGTTTAACTACGTTTAACTTTAACAGTTTGAATAGTTTATTTCTACGTTGAATTTGACAGCGTTCCGTTTCGAAGAACGATACTTATTAGAATGTCTAGTGTATGTACAGGTATCGGATTTATATAGTAATTTTGTGTAGTCGGCAACAGCCAATCAGGGCTGCTGGTCAAGTCTGTAAGGGTGGCTAGAACGTCACCAGCGCAGGTATATGACCGATGGCGTTTTTAGTGCACGTTGCAAAGGTCGCACGTTTGCTAATGAGTGCATGGCACTGACCGTCATAAAGTGGTATTTCCGTGAATTTCTAGGTTTAACTTAAATTATTTTACGAGGATAGTTTCGTGGAAATGTCTTTTGACCGCTTTGGGAAACGTTTCGTTTTGTATGGATAGGTTTTACCTGGTAATTCTCACAGTAACGTATATAGAAAATTTTGGATGGGTTCCTATGCTTTGTTGCAACGCAACACTAACCATATCGTGTTTGGTATCATTTTAATCAGAAAAACGTCACAAATATCTTGGTAAAAGTTTTATAAGAAAAAAATGAAAAATAATAAAGTTCAGTCATTGCATTAGTATTATCTCACTGATATATCCGATTCCAGATCATATTATCTCGAGCCTCAAGTGTCATGTTTCCACTTGACATAGCATTTCGGGCCTTCGCCTGGGTATGTTGTTTTTACGTTTCAAGTGGTCTCCGAACCTATCCTTTGAACAGCAAGAAACCGACAATTTTCGGATCGGCCCGTTCCTTCACCTCCGTATCACAGCCCAATAGAACTTTCGATACTCGGCAACGGAAAAATCTCTGGAAAATTAACATTGTCCTTTTTCAATAATCACAGAGGTTCTTATTAACATTGCTCTTTTATGTACAGCGTATCACCGAAGATAATTGATCTGTTTAAATATATTTAGACGATAAAATTTGTCTAAATTAAATTAGATTAAGTTCATAAATAATTTCATCGATTTTGAAATGAATCCAATAATACCGCAAGATTTCAAATAAATTGAAACCCAAGTGACGGCACGAAACGCTATGTCAAGTGCAAATGCATAAACCTTTCCTTCGATGCAACGGCAAAGAATCGACAAATTTTTCGGATGGGTCCGTTGCCTCCGTTCCTTTGGAACGGCACGCAGCAAAACGAAACTCCTCGCCTGTAGTGGCCCAGTCCTATTGCCGAACCGTTTCTATCAAGAAACGAAGAAATATTGTCCGAGCCGTAGCACGCTGTGGCATGCAACGAGGCAACGTCTGCCTATTCAAAAGGGTTCGGAACGGTGATACGATACGGGCGTTGGATACAGGTGGATACTCGGCTTAAGAGGGTCGTAAATTTCCTCAAGAGTTGCCTTTTGGCAAGTACAAGGTCTTGTCGTTTCCTATTTTTTCTGGTTTCCACGCTTTCTCATAGCACATGTGCGCTATAACGTTGTAGCGTCTTGGCGGGGCGCCTCCACTTCCACGCGCCTGAGGGTGGACTACAGGCAGGAGAAGGGGCCTACACAGGACGGAGTGGACTCCTCCACCATTGGACGAGGGATGATCCTGAGGGAGGATCCAGGATCCACCAAGGAAGGGGTATCGACCGAAATCGCGCGAGGATCTCCTCCGCCAAGCATAGAACGATCAGAATGATTGTGTCAGCTAAAACCGACAGATCTTTCTCACTCTGCAATCTAAACGCATTTTAGAACTTCAGAATTTTGCTTACGTATTGACAATTAAATAACGAAGTTAAAACAGTGAATTAACAGTTTTGTATCAAATTCATTTTCCGCGCCTTGCGAACGGAGCGCCTCCGCGCTCCACGGATTGCCTTACCTGCGCCTTTCAATTTCGAAAATCCCTATTTCCGTAATACGGACACGCAACAGATGCAAATTTTAACTCGTGCGGTGAAACTCCAGGCGGCGCTGATGTCGTTTCTCTACATACATACCTTGAATCACTGATTTTAACATACACAACCACAGCCGACTCTAGTACTAGCTGTGCTGAAGTAAAAATGGTAACACCGCGGACACCGCGGGAGTCCGGCCTGAATATATCAACACCTACCCTACTCTATCTGCCTCCCAGACTCCCAGACTCCCAGCCAATCAACGTCGTCAGACTCCCGACTACTCTTTGGACTTCTCATAACCACTTTGGTTTCGTTCCAATAATTTCGCTTGTTTCAAGGTTTTTATTAACTTATATACATGTTTATCAATTCTTAAATGTTTCGATTTGATCCAAAGATGGTTTCATTTTGCTTCATACCTAAATTTTCTTGAAACCACTGTAAATATTTCAAATATCATGTTTCACAACACCAAACTACTTCGAGAGTACACAAAATATATATCACATTTGTAACAATTTTATGCTACCACATCACTTTTACTTGCCATAGTTGCAAGGTTTATGTATTGTTTATACATAATTAATACAATATAGTCTATATTACTACAGCTTTTAATTAAAAAAGACGTTAATTACAATTCCGAGCACAGGACTCTGTTTTTGAAAATAGGACTCCCGATTGTCACGTGAGCGGTGTTGCCACATTGTTCAGCATGGCTAGTACTAGAGCATACTAGAGTTGGCTGTGTTGTGACACAACTGGACACAACTAAAGATATCGTGACGTCTCAGCGCTCCACGGGCACCTTACTCAGGTCCCTAAAATCCCTTCAACCCGAAACGGCGCACGCAACAATTGACAGATACAAGCGCCTCTGTCTGTATAATTAAGAAGCTCTTGTACGGGTCGATTTTTTATACATACAACAGATCCTTATAGTGCTGTCAGTCGTATTTAGTCCTGACAGCTGGTAAATCAGTGTAAATTAATAAAAATGGTAAATGTATCTTAAACTCATGAAACAATTGTTAGTTAAATGTGTGTTTTTTTTTAATAATTATGATTTTTTATTTTCTTCATTGTTTAGTCATTTGCTGAAAAACTAACGTCAATTATGCAAAAACCAGGACAAGATCCTGTTGCCAAGGATGATGTACCTGTTTGGTTGAAGTATGCTGGTCGAGGACTCGGTACTGTAGGCAGTTTAAGTAAGTTTTCGAAAATAACATTCATTTATTGTTATCATTTTCTCTGCAAAAAATTTACTACAGTTACTAATAAAAATGCATATAGCAACATTATTTATAATTATAAATATATAATACAAAGATTCGATATTTACTATTTAAACATAATAAATATTCTTGGATTTTTATTTGCTGTTAGATAATTATATAGTACTACTAAAATGCCTTGAATATTCTTTTTACTATATTTTTAGGTACGATATTTATAATATACATTATTGAATTAAATATAATGCTAATGCAAATAGAATATTAATTTTCATGAATTTGTTACAGTTGCAATTTTTCTTGGAGCATGGAACTCTGTATCGATACTATGGGGTTCTATAGATTGTTTAATTAGTGGTATGTGGCAAATGGTGGCTGGTTTTATAGTAGTAATGATAGAAGCCCCATGTTGTTGTTTATTTATTGATTTTGTACAAAACTTAAGTGATTGGGTAGAAAAGAGACCATATTGGAATAGAGCAGGGGCATACTGTTTGTAAGTACATTATTTTTTTGATAAAACATTAGATCATAATGCTATATTGTTTTTCTTATCATTTGTGTTAACTTATTTTACTAACGTTTCATGGTATTATGTTTAATTTTGATTATTTTAGAATGGCAATTCCACCAGTCTTCCTGTGTATAAAGATGAGTAGTATTTTTGGCAGTGGTCTAATATTTGCAACAGGTGTAATGTATGGACTAATGTCTCTTGGACGAAAGTAAGTTACATTTGTTTTACCTGTAATTTTATAAGATGAATTATTAACAAATGACATACATATAAACAACTAATATTAAACAATTAACTAACTTTTCTAGTTAAGAGAAATAAAATGTGTGTTGTGTTCTCACAATAGTATATGCATATATTTGTTTGTGGGTGTAAGTTATATTATTTTATAATAATTTGTATGTACATATGTCCAAATTAACACTGTGGCTTTTTGTTTCTTTTTTTTAATGTATAAATTAGCTCATGCAATTTATTGTTTCATCGTGTACATTCATTCAAAACATAATATATAATATCATTTTACTATCTTTTTAGTATGTATCGCACATATTTTATATTGTATATTATTATATTTTGTTAAAATATAATGACATATAATATATTTGACAAATGCAATTTTTTTTATTATATTACTAATATACTAATGATAACAGAGGAACCAGGCCCGACCCAGCAGGAATGACGTCGGGTGTGGGTTCCCCACAGGGTACAGTACCTCCTACTACAGATCATCATACAACTCTTGTGGAGGATCCTGATGTCTGGAGACCTACATAAATCATCAAATATTCATTGCACCACTTCACTAACCAGGCAATAAGATACACAGTTTAATGTGATTTTTACATTTCCAGTTTTCTCGACATCGCCTAGATATTTAAAGCTGTGTTATTATTTTATTGCTGTGTGTATTTAACAATATCAATTTAATTGCCTTGGATTATAACAAATTATCAATGGCTTTATTATATGTGATTAATTTGTTTCATTAGCTTCTTATCAGAAAAATACATTTACTTTAAATGTACATGTATCTCAAATTTGAAATTATTATTTCTTTCGATTTAAAATAATTTTGTGTTCATGCAGAACATTTTAAAAATAAGTAACAAACTAAAAACTGGATTCCTAAATTTTAATTGTTTACATTTTATAAACATAACCGTAGATTATAAAATGGTACAGAATTTCTTCATTCTTTTAGTACAAGAAATTTATGTTTAACCTTGCTCGTTTATTTTGTTATATGATGCATATAAATTTTTTTTATTTTGGAAACTTCTCTGTTTTTCTATGTTCCAATACTACATTTTATTCAAAATATAGTATTCTCAATTTATGTAATACTTTGATCTATAAGTGATGGAAAAAAGACGAAGTGTTAAAAATGTATATAATTTTAGCATTTTGTTCTTATGATTAGGATAGTTTGTTATAATTGTAAAATGATTTTGAATTATGTTATTATATTTTTATTAGCAAAATATGTTACTATTTCCAAATTATCTTTTTATCATAATTTTATACATATAAGTTTCATAATACAAAAATTATTTGAATTTTAATAATTTATACATTTTTAGAGCACCTCTTCCTGAAATGAGATCAGCAGCGATAAACATCGAGGTTCCTTCATCCAGTATGCAAGCCACACTTGTTGGGAATGCTCAACCCATGGGTTTTACTAATAGACCAGATAGTAATGTTTGATTTTTATATAACTAATTGGCAAAACCTCATCATTTTGTATGAATGATAACGAATGTTGTTTTGATAAAACCATCAGTAACCAAATCCATGAATATTGTGTTATTAAAATAATTGTATTTATTTTATAACAATATTGTAAAAATTTCATATACTTTTATCATGATTATCAGAACAATTATTTGTATTACTTGTATTAACACGTTGACTGCCAACTGTGAGACAACTCGTAGTTTGCGTTATTGCCTAAGACGCCAACTACGAATTGTCTTGTAATTGGCAGTCAACGTGTTAAACTTTCAATGAATTTTAGATAATATTCTTTTATTACATAATTTTCAATTCAGTAGTGTAAGTTACAGATACATTATGAAAACATTGCTGTTATATGCATAGAAGTGCATATATAATTATAGCATATATAAAGTTAAAAACTGCCATAGAAATTAATTTTCAAAGCTATATTCATGGGCTTGGTTTCATGACTTTATCTATTTAGTGTGTCATAGTAATTTAATATTAAAATTTGTGATGAAAAAACTATTCTTATAATTGGTTTTGGATATATAGTTATCTTACTTAAATTTTTACATCCTAATGGAATGAATTATAATATTTTAAGTGAAAATAACACTTCCAAAATCAAAATCCAAGACTTTCAGATAGATCATTCATAACTGATAGGGAATGGAAGAGTCATAATAGCTTTATCCTTCTTAATGTGTATGCATATCTGCATATATATAAAGCAAGTCATATGATTAGTTAAGATAAATCGTAGCTTCCTTTTGTTTAAAATATAAAAGACTAGAAAAAAATATTTGAAAAAAAAAGTTGGAGGGTGCAATAACATGTATTTTGTTCTGACTTCATTTTCTTTTTAAGTATGATAAAGCTTCATGGTTTCACAGTTAAAATGAGCACGAGTAATACTTCGAGTATGTTGTAATTAGATATAAAGAATTCAACATATTTTAATCCAGAATAATCGTTTTTATACAATGGAATTTAAGCGGAATTCACATAATATATTCCACATTTTAAAAATTAGGTTTATAGACTAATTATAAAACCAAAAATTAAAATGTTTGTGTATATTTCTTTATACAATATTGTACTGTATTGTATTATACAGTATTATATAATGAAATATTTGATCATTCTAAGATTTTTACATGTTTTATTCAACAAATTTGAAATATTTCATAAAATATTTATGAATGTTATAAAATATTGTTTCAATAACTTATTTTAAATATTTTCATAAGCAAAATTATTGTACAAATTGATTTATATCAAAAAAATATTAAAAGAATTCATTCATTGAGTACATTGTTACAGTTAAGATGAAAATGAGGCCAGAAGAAAACAAATTTAATTGCACTATTTAATTTTTTCCATTATTGTTTTTTCTAATATGAATGGCAAAGAACTATACAATATTTTAGTTGTGTAGTTCAAGTTATATGTTCTCTCTGCCAAATTAATTTTATGTGTAATTATACATCTCTATCGGTTTATTTTTAATTATTATATTTACTACATGAATTTATATTATGTTTACTTCTCTATGGTATTGTTGAAGACTTCCAACTTATATGATTAATAATCCCTAACTGTTTTTAGTTTTATATTTTCACAGCCAAATATAGTTCTACCCCTTAACAGATAATTAATTACAATTATATGTGATAAGGCAGAGGGAATAAGTAATATGTTAGGTTCTCATAATCTGATTTATATACAAAATTACAAACTCGTAATATCCAGATTATTCTAATAATATTTACTTTAGATTTTATTTTATTTAAAATTACATATTTTCATTATAGGCTATATACAATTCATTTTATTTTAATTCCTTTATATTATAAATTTGTATAATATATCTTTGATCAAATAAGCATTTATTTTAGACTTCAAATTGCCAAACTGTTCAATCATTTTCTTTTTATACATTCCTATTTTTTAATTAATTTATTAACTAAAACTAATTGTAAAATAGAAATATTTAATGATTACTTCTGTGGTTTTTGTGTTTGTTTCCTAAATGAATTCAGTTCGAATGCCATTTTTGAAATAAAGTAGTTTGATTTGATTTAATTAAATAGTTTGAAACGCCAAGTATTGAAATAAGTATTGTTCGATATGCCTGTTTACAATTACAGTCGTGCATCCGTATTCATCAGTAATATCGTCCAAGATACATCGTGGTTATACGAGACTTATGATTAATTTTTATGTTATAAATCATGCAATCTTTATTAAAATATTTTTTCATTCTGTAACCATTTCCAAGTCAGTACTCCAGAGTTGAATTTTGGAGAATAATTTAACTCCTTCAACTTGAATAATCTCAACTAAAAAAAATACGTATTTATTATTTTTTACTGGTTTACATCTCTATACTGTTAGAAAATTAAAAAAAAATGTATTATTAATATCAATTTATAAAGTGACAGTTTAACGTGAAAATATATGTATCTTGGTCCACGAAATCTTTTTAGTGCTTTTGAGGCAAGCATGTGCAGAGAGTAATAAAATGGGTAGGAGCATTTGTGACAAGCCTGCGGACACTCGAGCACCCCTATACTACAGGGTGATCCTCTCGCTACGCTACCCAAAGGAAGTGCCGCCACAATAGAATGTAGATGTCGACATCCCATTTCTGTCATCGCTTATTTGACCCCTGCAGCGAAGACTGCTGTGTGCGTGAAAATGTGTGTAATGAGCAGAAAAGTCCCATTTAAGCACTGCGGAAAACAGAATATTTTCTTAACACATTTTCACGCACGCAGTCGTCTTCGCTGCAGGGACCACCTCGGTCAACTAAGCGATGACAGAAATGGGATGTCGACTTCTACATTCTATTATGGCGGCACTTCCTTTGGGTAGCGTAGCGAGAGGATCACCCTGTATTGTGGCGACACTTCCTTTCGGGTAGCGTAGCGAGAGGATCACCCTGTAGGAAACTGCAGAGATATTGATTCAGCGGATACGGGGGCATAATTATATATTTAAAAACTAATTGTTTATTGATATTTATACCAGTTAATAAAAACACAAGTTTGAATTATTTAGTGAATATAATTATATGTATACATACATACAAATATAAAATAGAACACTGCTTAATTTTTATTCCGTAAAAATATTCGGACATTAAACAAATTTTAATAATTCTACATAGAAATATATCTGTTTATAAAATTGTAATAATTTTAATATTTTCTTAATTGGCCCTTCTATGTAATACAACATGTAAACGTTTAGGTAGTTTAGAAACAAATTTTTTAAACATTCCTATATAATGTATTCCTGTTCCTGTGTTGATTGTTATTTTAATTCTTCTTATGTTTTTATTCTACGAATTTCTTTAAATTCTTCATTGGATTTGGGGGATGGGGTCAATCGAGACCCAAACTTAATAATTTTTAAACAAAAGTTTCAAATATTGAAAGAATATGAAATACAAAATTAAATTAAGATTGGATTTCTTTATGGTCCACCTTCCGAGAGTTAAATTAATTGTAGAGCATGTTGCAACACTTTTAAACAATTTATAATAAATATTCTTTTAATATTTTTATTGTAAGATGAAAATATTTATTTTTGTCTAAAATGCCATCAATAAAATCTAATTCGCCGTCAGAGATCTCATGAATTTATTGATGGGTTAGTGTACATACACTGCATAATGGTTTAAAAAGTAGTATTTCGTGATCAAAATTTAATTAGAAGAAAAACCAGTTTTTTCTATAAAATAGCAATCCTTTATAATTTCGAATTTCAATTTAATTCTCAGTATTAAAATTTAGTTATATGTATATTAGTTATGTATAGTTCAATTATATGTTATAGTGTGCAGCAAAGTTTATTATAATTATTTTAAGAATTTTATATAATAATAATGTCAGAAAAGTTTTCAACTAAGTATGTTTTATTTTTTCACCACATCAGACAGTTCTTTCCTCAAAAGGTTACCCAGATAGCACAGAGACATTATTAAAACATCTTAAAGATATCTGTTCCAGATTGAAGATGTCTTACGAACATCTGAAAAGTCCTGCGAATGCCTGAAATACGTCCTGTAAACATCCTATGTTAGAAAACGGGATGTCTTAAAGATGTCGTACAGATATCCTACAGATGCCTTACAGACGTTCTAAAGATGTCTTATAAATGCCCTAAAGATAACTTACATGTACCCTACAGATGCCTTATAAATGCTGTTTGATTAAAATACAATCGTTTTTTTATCCGACTTCGAAAAGGAGGAGGATACTCAATTCGATGTGTGTGTGGTTTTTTTTTTTTGTTTTGTTCACCGATTACGCCGAGACGGGTTGACCAATCGGAACGAAACCTTTTGCATCTGGTAGAGTATGTTTCCCGATTGGTCCCGTTAAAAAAACATTTTGCATTTTTCCTTTCTGAACGCATTTTATTGCAAAAAAACGTACTATTTCATGTACGTGCGCCGTACGTTCGCCGATTACTCCGAGAGAGATGGACGAATCGGAACGAGACTTTTTGCGTCTTATAGAGTATAACTCCCCATTGGTCCCATAAGAAAAATATTTTGCATTTTTTTATTCCTAACGACTTTTTTTTCTAAATGTATATTCGCCAATTACTCCGAAACAGGTGGACCAATCGGAACGAAACCTTTTGCATCTTCTAAAGTATGTGTCCCGATTGGTCCCGTTAAAAAAACATTTTATATTTTTTCATTCCGAACGATTCTTATTGCAAAAAAACGTACTATTTCATGTACGTGCGCCGTACGTTCGCCGATTACTCCGAGACAGATGGACGAATCGGAACGAAACTATTTGCATCTTGTAGAGTATTTCTCCCACTTGGTCCTGTCAAAAAGACATTTTGCATTGTTTCATTGCTAACGATTTTTTTGCAAAGAACGTAATGCTTGATTTACATTTTTCATCGATTACCGCGAGACGGATGGACCAATCGGATCGAAAATTTTGTATCATGTAGAGTATATCTCCCGATTGGTCCCGTAATATAATTTTTGTGTTTTTTCATTCCTAACGATTTTTATAGCAAAAAACGTAATACTTCATTTATATCTTCTGGCGTTTATGCTGCAGGGAATGTACCGATTGCGATGAAACCTTTCACATTTGGTAAGAGGTATATCCGTGATGATCCCACTTGCAAAAATTTATGGAATTTGTTAATAACTACTGTTAAAGCAAAAAATCTGTTCTTTCATGGTACTCTGTAAGGAATGTATCGTTCGCAATGAAACCTTTCATATTTAGTAGGATATACAGTAAAAGCTGGATATATGCAACAAACATTGGGACCCAGGCGTTGCATATATCCAGTCGAGGTGTCGAATCTCGGGTTACACGCGACGAGCAGCCAAGCGTGAACGTAGAAAAGGACAGACAGTGGCAGAAAGAGAGAGGTCCGATGATCAAAGGAAAGAGCCGAAACGTATCGGTGTGACTAATACTAATTGAATAAAAAAACTTTTTTATTTTTGACTTTTTTTTAATGAAACTTGTACTAGCGCATTGGTGAGATTTTTGTGATTAAAGTGGTACCAAACACGATATAGTTTCAATTATAATTACTTGCTAAAATTGATGTTAAAAGTTGGCGAAAAGCAAAGGAGGATTGGAAATGAAAACCGGTTGCGGTGTTGGCTCGGGTTTCAAACGTTGCATATATCCAGCCGAGGTGTTGATTCTGGGCATTTAAACGTTGCATATATCCAGCCGAGGTGTCGATTCTGGGCATTTAATGTTGCATATATCCAGCCGAGGTATCGATTCTGGGCATTTAAACGTTGCATATATCCAGTCTTGGTATCGATTCTGTGTCCGTACAAATCGTTTGTACCGTGCCGCGTTACCTATTCTACGTTCGTACAAATCGTTTGTACCGTGCCGCAATACCTATTCTACGTTCGTACACAACATGCGACGTGTTGCATGTTGCATGTTGCGTGTTTGATGTATCTTTGGTGTACGGCCTGCCTTATATATATGTACAGTTTTATTATTATTTTAATAAATAAATATAATTCAAATCATATCGTGTTTGGTACCATTTTAATCAGAAAAATCTCACAAATGCGTTAGTAAAAGTTTCATTAAGAAAAAGTTAAAAATAAAAAAGTTTTATCGTTCAATTAGTATTAGTCACACCGATATTACGGTCGGATCATATTACACGATTTCCTCGCCGAGCGGCTCGGTTCGGTTTAGGGGGATCCCCCCAAGTGGAGGGGATAGCGATGTTGCATATATCCAGCCAAACTTTTGTTGCATATATCCAGCTTTTACTGTACAGGGTGTCACGCGACTACCTCGACAGCCGAAGAGGGATGATTGTTAAGGTGATTCTAAACAACCTTTTCCTTTGCCAAAATGTTGGTTCGTTTTCGACTTATTAACAACAAACACCGACCAATCTGGGCGCGTACAGCACGCGGGCTCAGGGAATGCAGTGTCTGTGTCGATTCTGAACTTTCGACGATGAAACACCTCATCTATTATTTATATATAATCGTAAGTGCAATAAATGAGGGCAGTTCACTGGCCCGATCACGAAAAGAGCTGTTCTACCGAACGTGTTTCCTCGTTTCCCAGTGACAATTATCTGCTTTCAGCGTAGCAGGTTAATTTAGGAACGAATGCGAAAGTTTCATTTAAATTGTTTTCAAATTTTTCATCATTAACGTAGCCTCCAATTCAAACGTTTATTAATTATTCCATTTCAAACATTTTTATTTGTTGTTTAGAATGCTTGGAATTTCCTTTTTTACATTATGATAGGCGACAAGGGATCAGGTTCCGTATTCATTTTAAACGACTAAAAATGTTCTACCAGTTCAGTTTTTTTATTGTGGTATGCCAACGGGGTGCCGAGCCGTTCGTTCGCGACCTACGTCAGGCCCGGTTTTCGTAGCCTGTGGTGGCCGTTATCGATAAGGCAGATTGAAGATTATTCTCATCGCCACCTTTTTATAACTACATTTATTATTCAATTGTCATTTTAAAACAAATTAGAATAACTTTTATAACTATTCATTCTTCGCCAAATTCTGCAAGCCTAAAGACGTGTCAACCTTTATATAAATATTTCTACATATATTTTTCACAATTTAAGCTTTAACCATTCATTTTATATATGAAATAAGTTTTCCACAAGCCGACTTTGCAGCAGGCCCTCCAAACTCCCATATTTAAGGGCACAGACTCCTTCGAGGCCTCCTCCGAATCGATATAAGCGCCATTGGAAAGAATCGGCCAATCATGAAAACACTTAATTGAGAAATTTGACATTTGACGGTGTGACATCTAACATCATTATGCAGAATAAGAAACGAAAGTGAGGTGGCGTAGTGAAAAAACCATTAAATCGTCCAATATTTGCTAAAATGCAGCCGAACGCAACATTCGGCAGCCATGTTGTTTGCTTACAACAGCGTCTGTCTCAATCTTACAATTTCGAAAATACGATTTTTCTCAACGAATGGTGTTTATTAGCGTTCAAGCGGACCAGACCGACCTGTACCGAAGTCTACCCGTGTGTGCTGTACTCGCGAAAATTTTATTTATGCAATTATCAAGACGAAAAATCGATTCTACGAAATTGAATGTCTCTCTCGCGCATGGCGTATACGTGCATGCTTTCCGTTGATTGTGTGAGTGCACGCATACAGGTCATGGCACAAGGAGTCTGTGCCCTTAATGCTGTAACTAAAATTAGTTTGGCGCAGAAAATCCAGGCGGCGCTGGTGTCGATACAAACATATAAATGATATCGGTGAGGTACACGCACACAAGCACATGGTCCATATATACGTGTGCATGGTCTTATTCAAAACTTTGAAAAATAAAAATAATGAAAGGGGAAAAATGACAACAATATATGTATAATAAAGAAAATATATTAAATTTTTACATAAATATAATAAATATATATAAATATATGTAAATATATATATATCAATAATAATATACAATTAATCACAATTATACATACAATAAAACACACACTCCGCTCACAAATTATACTTAATATATTAATACCATGTTAATGGTTTTATATATTGTATATGTAAACTGAATCTTCTTCTTCTTTTCATTTGCATCCAGGTATCTTGTTGCTCTATTTTAATAGAGGCAGCCTCTGACATGCAATATTTATTACAACCTCTGCAATAAATATTTTCATTAACAATTATTTACATATGCTATAAAAAGTATATAAGAGTTATTACCAAATAAGTTCAGTGTTGGAACTGCTGATGTTGTTAATCTTTTCCTCATGAAGTACTTTTCTCTAAAGTAGCTGCTACAGATCACCCAGAATTTCAGTTTCCAGGTGGAAGCACCGACTTTGGGTTGTTACATACTTCCACCCACTGTGCCATCCTCTTTTTATCCTTTCTCTCTTGGGGGAAGAAGAACATCCTGTTGTTTTCGTTAATACACCCTCTGATGCTACTCTTTCTTTTAAGATACATTTTAATAATTAAAATTAAATATATTACTAAAACAGCAATGTAAACAGTTGATACTTACTTAATTGATATCTTCTCCTCCTGTTGCTGCATCTCATCAGCAGAAGTTATTGAAAAACCTAAAAACGTAGAAAAAATTAAAAAAAATATCTTTTTAAATAATAATAATAATCATAATAATAGTAGTAGTAATAATAATAATAGTAATAATTATAATAATGGAATTCACGAACTAGGAAATTCTGTCACCACTGTCACTCACTGTGGCGCCATATTTCTTTAGTCTTGTGGCACCCTCGTCGGAGACGCCACAGTCCATGGAGCCTGCTCTGCCGTCCGGCAGGCGGCAGCACCATGAATGAAAGCATACACTCGTACCGCGTGCGACTTTCTAGCGCTTTTACGTAGGCACCGGTTCACACCTCCTACAAACGCGCGCTTTTCCGCTTTCTCCGATTTTTCCTCACTCTTTGTCTACGCTACCTCGCGACTAGTCGATGTGCCTGCCATCACTACGATTCTTTTCACCATTTTTATTTAGTTTATACATTTTTGATAATAAAGTTTTGTGTTCATTTATAGTAATCATGTCTGTGTGGTTTTTGTGTTTCAACCCCTCTCCACGCATATTCAGCACCCACGTGTATAACACCGCTAGATTCTCGCGAGCCGCGTGTTTGACGCTGGGGTACTTGAGACTCAAATTCGAACATTGGTGACCCGGACGTGATCTTGTTAGTGCACCCTCTCGCGTTTTTTTCGGTATAAACAAACAATCAGTGAAAATGCGTAAAAAATGGTGGTTTTGTGCGTCTCTACGGCCATTCAAGACTCTTTCAAAATGGTTCAGACGCTTTCGTAACGCGACGCGAGCATGCCGACGGATGCTCCACGGCCGCCATCTTTCATATCCCCTCGTCAGCCGGAACCCTTGTCGTTTTCTACGCCGAAGCGGCAGAGCGGAGATTTTTCTTCTTCGTCGGGGATGGAAGATTTGGACACCACTATTAAGGGGGTAGACACGGCACGAGACCTGTCCGATTCGGGACGTCGGTATTACAGCAGTTTTTTCGTTGGGCCGTTGGGCCTGGTGGAGCCACTTGCGTGGTCTGTTACGAACTTGAAAGGTTTAATTCTCAGCTAGCGTCCGCGCAACACGATCTAGGAATGCAACAGCGCCTCAAGCATTTTTACAAACACATTCAAACGCTCATCTCGCCAGAGGCTTCGCGACGATCCGCCTGAAGAACGAAAGCGAAACATTGGCGCGTGGTTAGAGTGAGATGTAGGGTGATCATGCTATCCTTCTTTCAACCTAAATGATAGAATTGTCCCGCTCCGATAAATTCTGACTGACTGAACGCGTGGGTTTTATATAGCGCACCGTAGCACCCCTCGCTGCTGAAAAATATATGCCTACTCTGAAGAACCGAAGGAACGTGCAATCTGAGAAACTTTTTAAAAAAAGTTATTAACTTCTTTAAATAAATGTTTCTTAATTAATAAAAATATACAGGATACGTCATGCAATTTCTGACGGGTTATATCTTGAATTTGATAAGAGATAGGAAAAAGCTGTTTATGTAAAAGTTCAATGGTATGATAATGTCTATTTTTCTGTGATGTCATCTTCTCCGTGAATGCAACGATGCACTCAAAAATGCAAATCCACTTTTTATTTAAATGGAATTGCATCAATTTTTACTTGTGTCAACTCCTTGAAACATTCTGCATAAAAAAGTACTAAGTATGGTATTATTAGAACTAATAAATGGAGGGACCTCGCATATATTCAGCCGAGATGTCAAATCTCGAATTAGATGCGACGACCAGCCAAGCGTGAACGTAGAAAGGGACAGACAGTGGAGGAGAGAGAGAGCGGTCTAATGATCAAAGGAAAGAGCCGAAACGTATCGGTGTAACTAATACTAATTCAATTATAAAACTTTTTTATTTTTGACTTTTTTTTACTGAAACTTTTACTAGCGCATTGGTGAAATTTTTCTGATTAAAATGACACCAAACACGATATAGTTTGAATGGGGGAGGTTTGTTATGGGGCGCTGTGGAAAATCCAGGCGAGCGGCAGTCATATCTTAGCGAAAGGGGACAATCTCAACATTCAGAATGAGAGAAGGACAGCATGACTGTAGTGCGTCTCACTCAGCGTTCGGGCGATGTTGCCTTTTTCGCTTGCCTTCGTAGCACAGTTCGAGTGACGTAATCAAGCTAACGCTTGATTCTGACTACGATTCCAAATCGGCAGCCTTTCTACTTAGACGCCACCTTATAACTACTAGCTGAACTAAATTTGTCACGTGACTTGCTCTGTAGTATCCAGATAATGGCGGAACTCGTCTTTGGGAATGCTTTTACGGGAATCGGTTATTCGTCCTTATACGAGAAGATCTTGAGCTGAATAAGGGCTCATTCGAAAGAGGAAGGTTCAATGCAGGGCGGTCAACTCACCGTTTGAGTCACAAAACTCTTTTAGTGGCCTAAAAATGCTTCCAATTTGCAACTGCATGTTGTCGATTTTTTCTTCTACTTTTGACACTGATATTATTAAATATGCACATAATCTCGTTAAACCATGAGTTGACCGCCCTGCATTGGACCTTCCTCTTTCGAATGAGCCCTTACCCAGCCCTATGTGTTCTCATATAAGGACAAATAACCGATTCCCGTAAACCCATTAATAGGCCCGTTTTTGCCGGTAATGTCACCTCGCTGCATTACCCGTGTCTACCCCCTTAAGGGGCTATACCAGTGTGGCCGCTCTAAAATAAGGTGATTTTCGAGAATTTTTTTTTAAAGAAATATTGCATCAAATGTTTTTAAACTTTAGGGATGTATTTAGTTACAAGTCGTATATCTATAATAATTTTCTGGTACAAAAATAATAAATAACAAGCGACTTATACGCTATCTTCCAGGGCTCCAAAAAAAAAAGTTGCTCCACTGCTGCAGTGATTGCCGCCGTCTGTGTGCTTAAAATGAAAAATGACAAAGACGCTGTTAAATTAGAAGGTATTCTCCGTACCATGAACTAGGATTTTTAAAAAATATCAAAATCTGACGAAATGGCGAAGTTTTGAAGAAAAGTTTGGAATTTAGCCTAAAAAAATCGTAGTTTTTTTAATGCCAAATTGGCATTTTTCATCCAATCAAAAAAATCCTAGTTCATGGCATGGCAAAACATGTACTGAACACGCTGAAAAAGTTTCGAGTCGATGCAATAATTTGTATTCGAGTTAGAGCTGCAGCAAATTTGAGAAATACCGTTTTGAGAAAAACGCGATCCATCGGCGGTAAGCGCGTTTCTGACATGCCAGCAGTTACTCTTTAGAACGTTGCCATTCCTAAACTATTTGAGATTCGACCTTAAAATTTTAATATGATATTCTAGGGAGTATAGATTTTCAAAAAATGCAAAAAAAAAATAAATCGATTTTTCAAAAGTGTTACACTGGTATAGCCCCTTAAGGAGCGTGGCACGTCGACGGATTACGACGATTCAGCGGGGTCTTCTTTACCTCCCCTCTCGCACGCGCTCGTCGCCGGTGCAAACATGGACGAAACCGGTCAAGACAATGCACAGCCCGGCGTGGCCGTCGCCTCACAGTGCCGTGTCCCGCCTTTTTGGCGCTCCCAGCGCAACTTTGGTTCTACCAAATAGCATCAGTGTTCCAGGTGAACCGAATCCGCTTGGATGAGTCGAAATATCACCTGGCCGTGAATGCCTCGCAGACACCCTGGCGGAAATTTCCGATTTACTCAGGGCTCCTCCAGAGGACGAAAAGTATACCACGCTAAAAACACGTATTCTCGAACGCCTCACGGATTCGGCGGACAGGCAGCTCCAGAGGATGCTCAACAAGCTCGAGCTGGGGGACAGGAAGCCCTCCCAGCTCTTCCGGCATATGCGAACCCTCGCGGGCGACAGGGCCACCGAGGACGTTCTCCGCATCCGCTGATCCGCTGATCCGCATCCGGATGGCGCTGCTATGAAACATGTACAGAACGTTTTTAAGATGAATTCGCTCGACGAGCTATTAAAAGCTGCAGATCAGATCATGAAGACGCCCATTACCCCGGGTGTGCTGTCTCTTAACAGCAGCGGCAGCTTCTCTCACACCTCCTCACCGGTCGTCAGCACGGCCCGACGGGATCCCGAGGCAGAGGACATCAAGATGCTCCTCACAAAGCTTATCGCTATCTCCAGGGAAATCCTCAACAAGGTGGCAACATCCGGCGGATCTTCCAGCGGATCTTCCAGCTTCGGCAGGCGCTCGGGCTCCGCCCGTCGCTCCCGCTCTCGCCCTTCGTCGCCAGCTCGGTCGGATGGAATCTGTCACTACCACCGTCGTTTCGGCGCAGCGGCCCAGCGGTGTCTTCAGCCGTGCAATTACCGACCAGCCTCCCCGGCTGACCAGCGGGGAAACATCTAGGGCTGCTCTCGGTGCAGGCCGCGGGTGGCAGCCCAATCGCACGCAGCTTACCAAGCCTGCCTTACTCTCAAGAGCGGCGACTCCATGTCTTTGATCGCTCCTCCGGCCAGTGATGCCAGAAACGTGGGACGTGGGACAAATCTTTACCCACTCCACGACGTCCCACGACGTACCAGTGACTCCCCTACCGCAGTTGTTTCGTCTAACACAAGCGCGTTGTCCCACGTGTCCGTGTGAGCTCTGCGGGTTTGGCAGAGTTCGGCTGCTCTCGTCATTTCTACGTTATCGGCTCGATGCCCAAGCCGCTAAAGCACGTGGCAGCAGCATCGACGAATCGACAAAATAATATAATTTCGTCCATGACAATATGGCTGAATTGAGAAACCAGGAGAATCAGTTCGAATCCCGATTTTACGGTTCCAGTTCTGATGCATAATACATTAACGCTTTTCTAATACATAAAAATACATTTTTAATACATTAATACTATGAAATACATTAACTTGGAAAGCAGTTAAAAAAAGGAATTGAACTGCATCTTTCTTTGATATTTTTTTAATTAATATTTAAGTAATTTCTTCAATTAGATATTACTGTTATTCTAACTATTGCAATACGTAAATCCGAAGACATACGAGGAAAATTGGTTAGGTTAAATTGTAAGGATATAAAGAAATTTCAATCTTTAACGGTTTGTTAGTTTTATTTCTTATTCCTTACAACTATTATAATTTTATTCTCTGAATGGTCATTACAATGAAAGATGGATTAGATACAATTTGATTCCTCATTTAATTCGTTATATACATATCAGATTTCTTGCAACTATTGCACCTGGTCCACGCTTATACGATATTGTATATTTTACTTTCCTATAATACAACAAGGAAACAAAACTATAATATAGTGATTACCATAATACAATAGAAAATGTTAAGCTTGGTATAAACCTTATGTTTTTTTTGTGTACTTAATCTGCACTTACGCTTCGTTGCTTTATAATGACTGATTTTTCTTTTGAATGAAACTTCCACTAGCGTATTGATGAAATTTTTCGATTAAAACAAGATCAAACACGACATAATTTGAATTATAGTTACTTTATATATTTGCATTAGGTTTTAAATAGATAAGTAAATATAATGCAAATTATGTCGTGTTTGGTCTTATTTTAATCAGAAGAACCTTATAATTACATTGGTAAAAGTTTCATTTAGCAAAAATGAAAAATAAAAAAGTTATCGTTAAATTAACATTGTCTCACTCAAATGTTTTTTCTCGGGCCCTTTAATTCTCGGACCTCATTCTCTTTCGTTATTTGTCTTTTTCTACGTTCGCCAGCATTCAAGAACTCGCTCGAGCTGTGTCGTTCTGCCAGCCTCGCACACT